TCCCGGGCGCCAGGGCCCAGGCTTTTCCATCCTGTGGGTCCCGTGTCTGCTGCGATGGTGGCTGTGGTGGCAGCGGCTCCAGGGCACGTTCTCACCGGGCCCCGCCCAAGGGCGTCAGAGCTGCTGTCACTCCCTGGTCTTCTCTGAGCGGGGAGACCCTCTCCCTCAGCCCCCTGCAACCCGGCCCCGCCTTCCCTGTGCAGGGCTGCGCCCGTTTCCATGGGTACCCATCGTGGGCAATGGGCAGGGGCTTCCTTGGTGGTACAGTCCACTCGGAGCCTCAGCCAGGTCTGCAGAGGGCCGGGTGCTGCCCAATGAAGGGCAGGCAGGGCTGTAAGCGCCTCTGAGAAGGTGAGTGACAGGTGTGCGTGTGTGTGTATGTGCGGTGTGTGTGTATGGTGAGTGCGCGTGGGTATGGTATGTGTGCGTGTGCCTGTGGGGGTGGAGCGGGCAGGGGAGGTGGCTGTTGGCCAGGCAACCAGCACCTAAGCTGCGCACTCCCCCTTCCCTCCCCCTGTGCACAGGGCTTTGCTGGAGCCACAGGGAGGCTGCCCAGCTCTCAGGCCTCAGGGGGAGCGGGAGGGGGAGCGCACTGCAGGCGGGAGGGGGGCAGCCAGCAGGGGACCTGGCAGAGCCCTTCCCTCCACCAGGAAGCTCTGTGTGCAGGGGTGGGGGAAGGCGCCATGCCGGGGTCCAGCCCCAGCAGGTCCAGGGGTCCCCAAAGGTGTGGACGGAGTTGGTGAAGGAGGAATGACACAGAGGCAGCGTTCAGGTGATCATCATAGCCGGGTTTTCTTGTCAGGGTCTCCAGCCAGGTTCTGTAGCCATTTCTCCCTGGTTCTCTAGCCATTTTCTCTTGCTAGGTTCTTCATCCAGGTTCTGTAGCCAGCATCTCCATCCAAGTTCTGTCTAGGTTCTCCAGCCAGGATCTCCAGCCAGGTTCTGTCCGAGTTCTCTTGCCAGGTTCAGTCACCAGGTTTTAGTCAGGTTCTCTTGCCATGTTCTATCCAGGTTCTGTAGCCAGGTTCTGTCTCTAGGTTCTTTGGCCAGGTTCTCTCGCTAGGTTCTGTCTCTAGGTCCTGGACAGGATCTTTTGCCATGTTCTCTTGCTAGGTTCTGTCTCTAGGTTCTGTCTGTTTGTTATTCTTAACACTATTTACTACCTTTTCAAAGTGACCCCCGGGCCACCTGCAGCAGAATCAGAAAACTTATCTGCCTTATCCTAGCCTATATAATAAAAGCCTAATATGCAAATAGACCAAACCGGCGGAGCGACCGGTCGCTATGATGTGCACTGACCACCAGGGGCCAGAAGCTCCATGC